GCGCCCCCCCCCCCCAAGCTTAGCAGTAGTTTACTAAATCGGTTTTCGATAATTGATTGAAAGGGAGACAATCTGTAGGCTATGGTGAGCTAATTACTATTTCTGGTACATATGAAGTAAGAAATAGGAAGGACCTACTTTTACAGTATACATCCTGGGGCTGGAGGACACATACAAGCAGAGAAAGGCAGTTGGAAGAAGAGACTGAGAACCAGAGATGAGTCAGAGTACAGAGTGATTTTTAATTTTTATTTCCTGATTCTAGTTCAGTACGGCCTGAGTCAATTTCCTATCCTTGAATGACAATGAAATTGCCTCTTGCATTCTTGAAGCAAATTCCCTTTACTTAGGCTAGCTTGAGTAGGTTTTTCTAAATGCCTGTCTCACAATTACAACAAGAAACAAATGGTACAGTAAAAAAGATGTTGGGTTTTGGGGCCTGGAAAATTTGGGTTCACACCTAGGCTCTGCTACTTATCAGTTATATGACATTGTACAAGTCATTGAGCTTCTTCTCTGAGACTCTCCTCATCTGTAAAATAGGACTAATAATACCTATCTTAAGGGTTTTAAAAGTACTAGAGAAAACACATGTGAAGTGCCTAGAACAATGTTATACACAGCAGCTATTCAATAAGCAATAAATGGCCATTAATAATATTACATTATTTGTAACCACAGTTGCCTAGGATTAGAGGTATTTTCACATGATTATGGTTCAAACCTTGACTAAATCATACCAGGAGCTTCCTTATGAACACAAGCTCCTTATTAGGGAACATTAAAAAAACAACAACCCATGACTTTAAAATCATTCAGTGCTGTTATAGACACCAGAGAGAAGAGGCATCCTATTCAAAGAACTGAATCTTCATCTTCATTGATCAATTACTGTCTGGTAAATAACTCATGAAAAGTTTTCCAAAGTCTCAACTTTTCCAAGGCTGTTTACCTGGGAAGTGTAGTAACATAAGTTGAATGATTCTAAAGGTGGAGTGAATGGAAATTTGTAAGGTCCGCTAAATGCAGAATCATCCATTGTATCAATGCTACTAGAAGTCAGAATGGCAGAGTCAAGAGAAGTCACACAAGGATGAACTAGAATATCCTGAAGTGGAGATCCATTGGTGGGGAGACTCAAGCTGATGGTAACATTTGGCATGATTCCTTCTAAATCACACTGCAATACAAAAGGGAACATATTACAAAGATCTTGGAAGCGTATGTCTGGGTGAGGCTTTTCTGAATTTATCTGAGTCATTTTCCACAATTTAACTCACTTTTCTCTCAAGGCATTTTGTTCTTTTTGCTTTCTGCATTCTTAATAGTTCTATCATGCTCTCAGACACCCAAGCCAGAGACCAGGAGAGTCTTCCTGGAGCCTTCTGCTTATATTTACAACCCTCTAAATGCTATTTTAAATCCACTGACTTCTCTCCATTCCTGTTGCAAACACATTGGTACAGAACCTTACAATTTTTGTCATAGTCCTTTAAATGTATTTAGATTTGTTTTCCTCTAATCAATCTACCCTCCATCAGTGCCAAGTTATTTTAATGAAACATAATTCTAATCATATTGTATTCATGCTCAAAACCTTTCAGCAGTTTCCTCTCAGTTTTGTATTACTTTTAAAGCCTTTCATTGTTTTGCTCCCATCTACCACTTTAATCATTTTCTGCCCTGCAACTAATACTGCAGACCCACTGGATTCTTGAATTTTCCTGAATAAACTATAATGTCTTATACCTCCATGCTTTTTATGTGCTACTCCCTCCAGCTACAATCTTCTTTTCTCTTTGTAACCTCAGCTCAGGTGATGCTTTGTGTGAGAACTTATATCCTGTATTGTCGCCTCAACAGTCAACCTCTGCAATGTAGAGAAATCTAGGATCTTTTCCTATGTGGTCTGGGTTAGTTTGCCAATGAGAGGTAATGAGAAGCTTGGAAGGTAGAAAGGAAAGGAAGTCAGTATTCCAGGAAGGTCATGGGTCAGATATGACAGCTTCACAGACCTCTATTTTTCTTCATATCTCTAGTGTCTAGCACATTGCTATGCTCAAGAGACATTCAAAAAAATATCTGCTGAATGGATATCATTTTCTAATTATGCAGCCTACCTTTGTTTTCCATTCTAATATGAAATGTTTTACTTTTTTATGTTTTATCTACTTCTTTACATACATGTAAATTCAAGAATATATGTGCTATGAAATGTAAGCACTTAGAGAGCATGCAGGCATATAAACAGTACCATGTGTAATGTCTTATAAAGCTCTTTTGGTGACAGTTACAATAATATCAATCACATTTGAAAATAAAAATGCCAAATAATCTTACTAAAAAACTTAAAAATATTTTAGTGTTTCAACTTCTAGGCCATCTCCCACTTGACTCTCTATATGCGAACAAGGAAGAACAAAAAAAGTTTTGTTTTTTGACAGATATTTATAAAGATAATAAAATAAGCAAATATTAACAGCAGATACTATTACAATTTTAAAATATTCAGTTTATACTTATTAAATTAGATTCTAACATTCTTACGGGGATGAGAAAACTAATACAATTACTAAGGAATGCAAAATAACTTTACCAAATTTGACATGAATCTAACATCTAACTACTGCTGTTTAAGATAAAAATCAACAATGTCATATAACTATGTAAACTAAAGTTAGTCAATTTTACTTTTCTCCATAGATGTTAAATAGTATGATAAAACAAGTACCAGAGAAAAATCTCACCTTGCAAGTGACAGCTCCAACTACTTGCCATGTATCTGCTATATCCTGTTTATCATATTGCATAGATTTTACCTTTTCTGTGATAGAAATAGAAACTTGTGGTTTTCCTTTGTATGTTCCAACTTTCCAGGCTGGCTGCTTTTGTGGATGAGTCACAGAAGCAAAATTAATACTGTCCAATGAATTCTGTAAGTTAGCATCTAACAAAGTTCCAAATGGGCAAGCCTGAAGAAGCAAGTCAGGCAATTGGCTCAATTTTGTATTTAGCTCAGAGTCATTTTTTTGACTTGAGTAAAGAAAATTCTGTATCCCAAAAAGAAGTTCAAAACCTTGTGAAATTGCACTAATGCTAATTAATGGTGGACGAGAGGATAAAGTTTGTTCAACTAGTGGAACACAAGCGTATACTATGCCATTCTTCAGAAAAGCAACAACTGGCCAGAGTTCTTCACCTCCTACTTTAAGTCCATAGACGGACGTTTTGTTGATGTGAGAACAGCTATCACGGCCTTCCACGAAGTCCTTATCTTCATCCAATAATCTAAGTTCGAAGAGTAGTGATTTAAGAAAGGGACCATCTTCGGGAATAGGCACATAACTTGCTCCATTGAAGACTTTGGCTCGTTTTTCAACAGTTGGATATCGTCTTCAGTATGGAAACAAAAACAATACGAATAATTCTTCCAGGTGAAATAAAAATGGAAGCAGTAAAAAACAAAAAACAAACTGAAAACTGAAGGCAAATAGTAGTAACAAAATACTCAATAATAAACAAATACATACACACCCACAAAAACCACAACCAAAAAATATTATATGTTAAGCTCTGGCTGTAGTAACTAACTGTTGCATCCTTGGTATATTATCTCAAATGATAAAGTATCATTATCTTTTATTAAAAATAATTCAATTTAGCTAACTTTTTTAAACAAGTATAGCACATGGATCTAATATGAAACCTCAGTCTCTTCACCAGATTCCCACTTGGCAGGCAAGGAGTGTATACCTGGAAACATTTTAGGCATCTATAGGAACTTTTTTTCTGATTCCATCTTAGTAGAGTAGGATCAAAAGAAGTGGTTCAATTCAACCCTCTACAATTTTGCATTCACTAGTTGAGATGATACAGTTATAAAAGGAATGTTCTATTCGACTTAACTTACAGTGAATAACAGGTATCCGAGTTTCTTGCCAACCCTACAAAAAATCTATGAGCATTTTAGTAATAATGGTTTATCTCTCTGGCCCTGGAAGATAGTATGGGGTAAGAAAAAGAATAGAATCTGAATAATCTTTTATGATTTACATGCTCTAGGCTGGATGGTAAATTACTAATTCACCCCTTTTTTGGGAGAATCAAAAAAGAGGTGCTTTTGTTCATTTACAGAAATGTTACATATTATTTTCTTAGTTCAAAAAATATATGCTTTCCCTATTCCTTCCCTCTTCACTCCACAGTCCAAAACAAAGTCAAACTGGCTATTAGTGTCTGTGTAAATCACCTAACTTTCGCAAGCCTTTTTTCTTATTTGTAAAATAAAGGGGTGGCTAAAGGACATACTAGTAATTCTCGTCAAGGATCAAGAACACACCTGGCCAAAATAACTTTTTTTCACTAATTCTACTAATAAAATACTGATGTTTACTAATATTGTGTAAAAAGAAATATAAGAGCCCAGTCCGCTTGGCTCAGTGGTTGAGCATCTGCTATGACCTAGGTTGCAGGCTTGATCCCCAGCAGGGGGCGTGGAGGCAGCTGATCAAAGACTCTCTCTCATCACTGATGTTTCTCTCTCTCTCCCTCTCCCTTCTGCTGAAATCAATAAAAATATATTTAAAAAAAGAAAAATAAGAATGTATTCAAAGTAATCAGTGCATTAGCGAACCTCATTCACTTACACTCTGACGCATTTTCTTGGTAGAGAAGGGGAAAAAATTAGTACTCCAGTAATGGAGTAGTGGGTAACTGCCATTTCTTTCTCTGAGTCTCTGGATAAGAATAGTTTTGAACTTTAGACTAAACTCTAGTACAATGTCTTATCCTCTTGTTACCTAAAGGATAATTAAAGTTCTTCTTAAGTACAAGAATCTAATGACTGAATGTAAACATAAGTTAATCTGGGATCTTTTACTATGCTTCAATGTGTGCTCAATAAATATTTTTGTTGGATGACTCAACCTGTCATTTCAGATTTATTCTAGGCTTTATCTAAAATAGGACTTACACCTTAAATGGCCCTACAACTATGAGGTACAATACCAACCTCAGCCAGACTTAACGTGATACTATTACCAATGTCTATTCAGGCAGCAAACTTCTAAAATAAAACCTAAACCAAGGTTTTTTTTGTGTGTGTTTTTGTGAGGCGAAAAAGTAGTGAGATACAGGAGAGATCATTTGCCTTTTTAAATCTTAAATGATGGCCATTATCTCTCGGCACATATGTGGGTAATATGTCAGTGCATATCTGTTTAGCCCTACCACCAACCCCAAGAAGTCAGAAAACTGAAAATAATAAAACTTAACAAGTCCATTCAACGATACAGATTAATAAGTGACAAATAAATTATCTGAACCCAAAATGATACAGATTAATAAATGACAAATGAATTATTTGAACCCAACTTGCCGCTTCCATAGAGATGTTGAAGTGCTCACCCAAACATATCAAAATTTTTCTTCTGAAATATTCTGAGCACAGTGGGAAAAAATTCTGAAAACAAGAATGACTTCTTCAAGGAGCTTATTTTTCTAAGCAGGAAAATAAATCTTACCTCTATGAGATATTCAGATAAGCTACAAAGCCACAGATGTGAATACAGTATAGCATTGGTACAATAACAGAAAAATAAAATAATAGAACTGAGACAAATGGTTATATGGGAAACATAATTAACTATCAATAGCCCCACAAATCAATGAAGAAAATTGTATTGCTTGGAAGATGATATTGGAAAACTAGCCAGCAGTACAGTGAAAAACAAAATGGGATTCCTATATCAACACCATATCCAAAGATGGGCTATGGATAGATTAAAGATCTACCTTATAACAAATAAAATGATAAAGTTAAGAGAAGATAATGTAGGAAGGTATCCTTGGGAAACAAGGGCAGGGAAAGACTTCAGCAAATCTCCCAAAGCACTAACTACTTTGTTTGCAATAAACTTAGTGATTTCTGTTTAATCAAGGGCAACATCAAGTTAATTGGCAATGATAAATCAAGAGAAAATATCTGTAACAGCTAAAAAATGACACAGGACTAATATCAAGAATATACAACAAACTCCTGCACATTAACAGAGAAAAACCCCCCAGCAAGTCTCAAAGAAAAAAATGAACAAAGGATATATATAGGCAAGTCACAGAAGAGGAAAGCCAAAGGGCTAACAATCATTGCTATAGGGAGAAAGTAAAATGAAAATACAATACTATCCTGGCAAAAACTGGAGTGTTAAGAAAGACATAGGAACCCTCACTCACTGTTGGTGAGAGTGTAGACTGGAGAAAGTATTAGGAAGAGCCAATCATTTGGCAATATTTAGTCAAAATGAGCATAGATATGCCCCAGGCACCTTTTGAGGCTTTCTACTGCAGCACTGTTCTGCTGGCAGAGTTGGAGGGAACCGGGATACATTATTGGGGAAGAGGCTAGGTAAAGGGTGGAGGGTGTAAACCATGAGTACTACAGAGCAAGGAGAAGTAATGACCTAGATCTGCATTGTCCAATATAGTAGCCACTAGCCATATGTGACTCTTTAAACTTTTAAACAAAATTTAATCTCTCAGTTACAGTGGTCATATTTCAAAAGCTGCATGGGGTTAGCGGGTACAATATTAGCACCGATTTAGAACATTTTCCATGTCCATCATTGCAGAAAATTCTATTGAACCAGTGCTGCCCTAGATGAATTCACAATAACATGGAAGTTTCTTTAAAATAATGTTGAGAAATCTGACAAATGTAAGAAACAGGAATGAAGACTATAGAACAATTATGTAACTTGAAAATGCATATACAAACATGCGAATACATGGACAGCAACAAAGATATAGGTTACCTGTGAGGCAGGGAGAATGGCAGAAATAAAGATACCCGAAGGAATATATAAGTAAAACGAGGAGTACTTTGGATAAGACCAGTGAAGAATATTATTAACCACACTAAAGAATATTATTAACCTCCATACTTGAGGTACAACAAGAAATGTAAGTCAGGTATCCTGGGAGAAAATGCTAAACATCAACTCTGATGCCCTAGTAACAAAAACTGTTTAGGTGGCAAAGCGGAAATTTTTCATGCTCACATTGCCAAGCACTCTTCATTTAAAATTATGCTCATCTTTATTCTGCTTCAATCTCAACTCATAGCTACTACTTCACTACAGAGCTTTCCTCAGTGAAGAATGAATCTGTTGGCAATACATGTCAACAACCACTGAGAATAAAAGGTGAAATAAATGACTCAATCGCTACCCACATTTTATATAGCACTCTTCACAGAGCTATTTTGATAAAATGTGGCAAATTCTAAAAATGAAACCAGGTAAGCTTACACCAGCTAAGAAAAAGCAATTTATTTTTCGTACTTTTTCAATTTTCTTCAACAATCAGGAACGTTAAAGTAAACCACCTGAAAATTTCTAGGAATGAAACATAAGGTGAAAATAACAGTCTGATATTGCTCAGCAAGGATTTTTCAAAAGAATAAGTTAAAATGTCATTGACTGATTATTAATGAAAGAAGTTTTTAAAAATGTGTAGTGCTCAAGCTTCCTTCCTTTCATCATCTCCGTATCAATACTAAGCAGATGGAGGTAACTTTTAAGATACAGTACTAAACAACACTGTATTAGAAAACACATATTTAATCTGTGCCAGGCACCAGCTCAAACTATGCTGCATGATCCATTCCTCCGAGTGATCATCCCTGAGGAGTCAGACTTGCATTTACCTGGAGAATCTGACGGTGCCACAAAGTGGAGTTCCCGGTTGGTGGCCTATGAGCCACACTGCTCGCTGAGCCATGATGCGCCGCTAGACTAGAGCATCAGTTCACCTCTAAGGCCTCCACCGAGGAAGAGCGCAGACCGGCTTTCTCAGCTGACTTATCAAAAGCCCCGAAGCCCACTCATCAGAGGCACCTTCTGCCCCCACCAACAAACTGGTCGGGCTCAGCATAGAAGCTAGCTCCTTCAGACGAAGTAACTAAAACCTTTGAGTCCGTGCGGGCCAGCACAGGCCACACAAAGTTGTGTGAATCCGCACCCAGAATCTCGAGCACTTACTACTCCACAGCATCCCTAGGACTTGCTTCCTCTAAACTCCACTTCCGGGATGGTGGCCCGCAAGGATCAAGGTTCTTCACCAGCCGAGAGACGAGCCTCTGCGCGGTTAGCCGGTTGTAGGCTTCGCTAGTCGGCCCCGCCCGGCTGCTGAGCCGGCGCGCGCAGCTCCACTTCCGGCGTCGAGGCGGTGACAATGGGAGCGGCGCGGGCGGCGCCGGGAGGCAGCTGACAGGCGTCTGCGGCTTCGCTTCATGGCCGCTCTCCCGCTCCGCCTGGGCTCGGTGGGGGAGTCGGGGAGCCCGCGGGGTCCGAGAGCCGGAGCTGGCGAGCGGAGCGGGGACCTGTGAGCGGCGCCGCTAAGGCGCAGCATGTGAAGAGGAGACGGCGTCCAGCGCGAGGCGAGCCTCTCAGCCGGCCGGGATGGCTACGACGGCCGAGCTCTTCGAGGTGGGTCCCATCGACTCCTCAGGGAGTGGCAGGCCCGGGGTGCGGGCAGCTCGGTGGGCGGGCTGAGGAGCGGGTGTTCGCCAGCGGCCCGGGCCAGCCCTCGGAAGGAAGGTGCGAAAGCGGAGGGGTGGGGTGGCCGCTCGGGAGTGGGCGCGGGCGGAGTGTGAAATGGGGGAGGGGTGGCTAGAGGGCCGGGGTGGGGAGGTCGGCGGGCGAGGGAGCCCGGCGTCCTGGGGCTGGAAGGAGGGCGCCTAGGAGGCTGGGGTGTTGGGGGATGTATTCGGGATGAGTGGTGGGAAGGGCCGGCTCGGGCGCGGAAAGGAGGGGTCCGGAGCCCCAGGTTGGACGAGCCCCGTCGTGTCGCTTGGACCCTCGTGGAATTTTCTCAGGGGGCCACCTGAGATCGGTTCCATGGGGGGGCTCCTGGTTGGTTGTGATCATTCCTTTAGTAAGTAGAAGTGGCACTCACCTGCTAGCCAGGTCACCCTTACGTTGGAAAGGCCGAAGTATTTTTTTTTTAGAACAATAAAGGCCTATTTAGCCCTTTAGACTGAATAGAGGCAGAATTAAAATGAACATTTGTATGCGAGTCTCAGGAAATCGGTGTGTATTATAAAACCACCTAACTGCTAGCTAGAGAATCCTTAACGCCAGAGACAGTGAGCATTCAGATGTGTTTCCTTGAGAAAGTTTTCGGTCTCTAAAACTTGAAATTTAATTTAGTGAAATCCAATGTGAGAAGCTGTGATGTTTGAGATAATAGAAAAGGAAAATTCTAATGGGACCACAACACAATGAAACATAAAGGATCTCTTTTTGTAAAAGGAATGAAAACAAGTGAAGAAAGAGGAAGCAAAGACCCTTTTTGTGTGTGCTTGTGTTTCGTATTGAGTAACAAAGTAAGCAGTAATTGAGGACAGCAGATGACAATAGAGAATTTCTCTGTGAGTGAAAATTGGGTACTTTTTCTGCTTAAGATTCAGCAGTTTTTTGGCTTAAAGTGTAAATGCCACAGTTTTTATAACAACTGGGAACTTTTCGCATTTGTTACTGTGACTATATTTCAGGTTTCTACCAGTATTTGGATAGATAATGCTTTTAGTGAGAGACATAACGTGCCATTGTTATAATAAATTGTAATAAAGTAGTAAATTGTGAGTGAAGGATTTATAGTTACAAGAAAGAATTTGAAAATACTAATTACATTTCCCCTGATTTAAGTATTGAGAGATATAGTACCTTAACTTCTCTAATTCCATCTGTTTATTGATTGACACAGGAGCAGGGAGACGTTCTTTCTGCTAAAAGCTTTTACTGTGTGTTGCTGGGGAAGATACGAAAGTAGTTCTGTAGTTCTTTGTTTTATTTTTTTACATCTTGTAAAGGTAGGAAACTATGAAGTTGACATCTATAATTTACGTAATGAAATACTTGACCAGCTAGCTTTTAATAGAAAACTGATTTTGTCATACAGTTCATAAGGCATTAGTCTTTGAGTTGAATACTGCTTGACATTCCCAATTGTGCTGCAGACCATATTATGTCCACTTTTCTTTAATTGTTTGACTACATGATTCCACATAACTTATTTGAAAGTGTGTTTGATTTCTACTTCGGTTGAGAGGAAGGGGAGGAGGTAGAGAAATATATATTTCGCTTTCTAGGGTCTCACCATTTAGTAAAGTAGTTAAGTCAAATTAGGGTTTAACTTAACTCAGTGACTCCAGTTATGTGATAGCTAGTAATATTCATTTACTGATAGAGCAGCAATTTTTAACTGATATGCTGCAAGAATTTTTAAAACGTGCAACACCTGACTATTTAGTCAGGGACACTGACCTCTTTTCCCTTGGACTGTCAGATAAAAAAATGACAACAACCAACACAGCAGTAGCTGTCCACTGTGAATGCATCAGAATTATACCTATTTTTTTGTCAGATCAGTAAAAAATATAGCATTTTTTGGTGTGCCACAGAATTTTAGTAAATAGTTCATGTGTGCTATGAGATGAAATAGGTTGAAAATCACTGCTGATACAGTGATGACAGAGACAGACTAGTTCTGTGGCTAGAGGGTTCATAGTGCATTCTTAAACATGCTTATGGATCTTAACTCATGTAACTTACTTTTTCCTGACCATATGTAGCTTCTTGTTTCATCAATATGGAAAGCATTATTACATTAATAGTTACAATTAAATTTTAATAGTACGATTAAGAAATATATTTCTCTTTTTAGCCCTCTAATGGGCTCTACTGTTGAATAAGTTTTCATTCCTAAGTGAAAAGTTGGTCTCTTAGAGGGAGGAGGGGGATTTTAAAAAAACCAAACCTTAGTCATTGCTGCTGTTTCCTGTTGCTACTTCCATAGGATCTAGGTTGTAGCACAAGTCAGGGAGTGTCTTTTTTTCTTGCTTCCTTTTCTTAGTCACAGCTGGGGAATTGTGGGAAGCAGAGGTCAGGCAGGACACAGTCAAGGATATTTAGTTTTTATGCGTCCTGGTTTAATGCACTATTAAGGTAAATTGTGCTTTCATTTTTCCACTTTGAAAGAGAGCAAATCAATACAAAATTATGCTTTGAATACATGAAATTTCATGTGTTAATTCTACTTCTTTTAAAATACTATTATTGGTCTCATGAAACTGCCTCCCCCCCCTTTATTTTTTTAAATTTATCTTTATTGTTGAAAGTATTATAGATGTCCCCTTTTCCCCCCCATTGATCCCCTCCACCCCGCATCCACCCCATTCCCAGGCCTTCCCCATAACAATGTCTGTGTCCATGGGTTGTGCTTATAAACACGTAAGTTCTTTGATTAATCTCTCCCCACCCACTCCCTCATCCCCACCTTCCCTCTGAGATCCTTCAGTCTGTTCCATGCTTCTATGTCTCTGGATCTGTTTTGTTCATCGGTTTTGTTTATTACATTCCACATATGAGTGAGATCATGTGGTACTTGTCTTTCTCTGACTGGCTTATTTTGCTAAGAATAATACTCTCCACTTCCCTCTATGCTGTCCCAAAGGATAAGTGATCCCTCTTTTTTATAGCTGCATAGTATTCCATGCTGTAAATGTACTACAGCTTTTTTATCCACTCATCTACTGATGTGCACTTGAGAAGAATGTATATTTTGCAGCGTTGGGGTGGAATGTCCTGTAAATGTCAATTAAATCCATCTGATCTAGTTTATCATTTAGGGTCACTGTTTCCTTGTTGATTTTTTGCCTGGAAGACCTATCCAGTGAAATCAATGGGGTGTTATAGTCCCCTAGTATGACTGTCTTGTTGTCAGTCTCTTCCTTAAAAGTCCCCTAGAAGTTTTTTTAATAAATTTAGGTGCTTCCATATTGGGTGCATATATGTTTATTAGGGTTATATCCTCTTGTTGGATCGATCCCTTTAGTATTATGTAGTGACCTTTCTTGTCTCTCATTATAGTCTTCATTTTGAAGTCTGTTTTGTCCAATATGAGTATTGCTACCTCAGTTGTTGTTTTTTAATTTTCATTTGCATGGAAAATTTTTTTCCATCTCTTCACTCTCATCCTGTGTAAGTCTTTTATTTTGAGGTGGGTCTCTTGTAGACAGCATATATTTGGGTCATGTTTTCTTATCTATTCATCCACCCTATGTCTTTTTATTGGAGCATTTAATTCGTTTAGAGTTGTTATTGATAGACATTTATCTATTGCCATTTAAATTTTTTTTTAAAAATATATCTTTATTAATTTCAGAGAGAGGAAAGGAGAAGGAGACAGAGAGATAGAAACATCAATGATGAGAGAGTCATTGATCGAGCCCGCAACCTGGGCATGTGCCCTGACTGGGAATCGAACCCTGATCACCTGGATCCTAGGTTGATGCTCAACCGCTGAGCCATGCCCGACCAGCACCATTTTATTTTTTTATGCCTATGTTTCTCTATTTCTCCTTCTCATTACAGCAGCTCCTTTAACATTTCCTGCAATGCTGGCTTGATGGTGATAAGCTCCTTTAGCCTTTTTTTTTGTCTGGGAAGCTCATTATTTCACCATCTATCTTGAATGATAGTATTGCTGATAGAGTAGTCTTGGTTTCAGATCCTTGTTTTGCATTACCTTGAATACTTCATGCCATTCCCTTCTGGCATGTAGAGTTTCTGATGAGAAGTCAGCTGACAGCCTTATGGGAGTTCCTTTGTAGGTAACAGATTTCTTTTCTCTAGCTGCCCTTAATATTCTCTCCTTCTCTTGAATTTTTGGCATTTTAATTATGATGATTTATCTGGGCGGGGACCTCTTTGGATTCTTCTTGCTTGGGACTCTCTGTGCCTCCTGAACTTGTGTGACTTTTTCCTTCACCAGGTTAGGCAAGTTTTCTGCCATTATTTCTTCAATCAGGTTCTCTAACCCTTGCTTGCTTTCGACCTCTCTGGCACTCCTATAATGTGAATATTGTTACCTTTCATGTTGTCGCACAGCTCCCTTAAACTGTCCTCCTGTTTTTTAATTGTTTTATCTTTTTGGTTCTCTGATTGAGTGATTTTTTTCTACCTTGTCTTCTAATTTACTGATCGATCTTCCTCAGCTTCCTCTAATCTGCTGTTCATTCCTTCCAATGTATTCTTTATTTCTGCTATGTCATTCTTAATTTCATT